GTCTATGAAGAAGACAACTCCAGAAGTTAATTCCTTCTGTCATAGGAGTGGCTGGAAGTGAAATGCAAGTCCAGCATAACTCAGGAGAAATGCAGGGTTTTAATAAGGAGCCAAAATACTAGCTGTAGACAGGTCAGAATTCGGTGGTTATATGTGGGTTGCTTTTGAAAATTCTCTGAATATTTAAGATGGATATACACATGTAAGGTTGCCAATGACAATGAGCCATCCTAAAGCTGCTGCTCATCCGTGTCCCCCCATGGTGTGTGTGGCCCTGGCCCCTGGCCTGGCCTTGCCACAGCTGCAGGGACATGGGGAGGGCAGGCAGGGCCTGGCAGTGGCCCAGGGAGGCTCCCACAGCCAGGAGGGAGCGAGGGGGATCAGGGAACACAGGCTGCCTCCCGCTCACCGCAGACACAGCTGGACACGCATCCCTCTGCTGAGGGCTCAGCACGGGGGAGGAGGCAGGGGCTGCTCCAAACGGGGAGGGGAGGGAGGCCAGCAGCAGGGACACCCTGCAGCAGTGGCACAGGGGAGGGCAGAGCGGGTGGAAGCTGGTCAGGCACTGGCAGCAGTGTTCCAGCATGAGGTGACAGCAAGCAGCAGCTGACGGGACCGTGGCTCACTCAGTGGAGCACAGATGGGCTTCACCCTGTGCAGCCTCTGCCAACACTGAACTCAAACATTATAAGTGTCCCCCAGCTTCGCTCAGGCACAAAATCCTTTTTTCCTGGCAGGACCTTTTCCTGTGGCCAAACATCAGCAGCACCCTGAGGAATCACAAGGGTGCACCTACTTCCCTCCACCGCCAAGCAAAGCACAGCCATGTCACTCCAGAAATAGGTGAACCAAACTTGTTCCCTTGCCACAATACCTAGGAGAAAGGACCCAGACCAGTGTCCAGCGAAACCTGGAAGGGCCAGGAGCGGGGAGGAATTGCAGGAAATTCAATGGGCAAAGACTGAACTTTGCAAATTTCCACTGGCATCTACTCCTGCAGTTTCCGTTGTTGAAAACAAACCCGAGAGGTTTCTGGGCTGTTCCCACTGTGGCAGCCTGGAAAATGTACAAGCTAATTGGAGCTGGGTAACTGAGCACATTGGCTGGGAGGAGGCACCTCCAGCAGGAGTTTCTTTTCTAACTGGTGATAACACCATCCAATTTATAACACAAACAGAAAAACTTCTGAGCAAGAAATGGAGAGCGGCAGAAAAACAAGCTTGTGCCAGGGAAAAACAGTCCTGCCTGAACTCCCACGTCAGCTCCCTTGTGTTGGCAATGACCACAGTGACTCTGCTCTGTTTCCCCATCTCCAGTGACATATTACCAAGCAGGCTGTGGAGCTGCAGGGGTCACTTCCCTCTGCTGATCAAGCCAGCTCTCAGGAAGCCAAGTGCTTTAGATTCCCCAGACATCACCTGCCCATCTGGCCTGTTGGACGAGGCTGCCACGCAAACAGCAGAGGCAGCAAAAGAGACGTTCATCTTTTCCTTCAGTTCTCAGCCAAATTCTTGATTTTTTGCTCAGGATGAGTCTGCATAAAAATGTGAGATTCAGTCCAGTAAGAGCAGAGGCACACACAAACTCTGCTTAAATGCCTGCTAGAGAGGCAGAAACATTTGGTAGGTGCCTGAGTGAACCATGCAGACTGCAAACTGTGTATCAGTGTCTTAATCTGCTAGAGGTGGTGTGTGTCAGAAACCTCAGTAAAAGAGCTAAGTATTACTCTGTTTTTTAAGGGAATTGAATGAAAATAGAGATGTCTGGGAATTAAGTGTTCTCAGCACCAGCCAGGCTGCAGTGATGTCCCTGTACTGATCTCTCCTTCAGCTCACAATTGAAACCACCTCTGAAATGTCCTGCTAAGGGAGATTGCCACCCAGGACAGAGCACAGCTTTGCAAAGAGGAGGAGGTGCTGATCTCCAGTGCTCAGGGTCCCCACCAGACACCACTCTGACACCACTAGTTCAGGTCACTGGATTTGTTCACTCCAAGCCCAGTGGTGATAGACAGGGAAGATCTCTTGTGCTTCCTGCTGCTCTCAGACTTGCACTATCAGGTTAAACACAGTGCAAATGTTTTACAATAGCTTCCACTGGTAGACACTTAAGCTGGGTAAGAAAGGAATTTTTTTACAACTGTATTAAAGCCAGAAAAAGCATTTCCTTTAGGATTAGGCTGTGCTATCCTGCAAAAAAAGTGGGATGAAGCATTTATGTCCCAGCTTGGACTGCAGGTGCTACACCCGGATGTAGTGCTGGGGTGAAGGAGGGGTCAGAGTTACAGTTCTGCTACACTGAGAGTTCAGCTATGGAGGTAATTTTTACCTTGGCATATCTCTGAATTACATATATGCATAACCACCTCACAAGAGAAGCTGGCAGCCAGAGTTGCTGCTCTGTCTTCAATGCATCTTCTCTCACTTCTCAGGGACCCCTCCTTGCCAGGAAAATTCTCAAACATAAATGGATGCATAAACGACTCAAAATCTTTTTGTCTCATTGCAAAAACTGAATTGCAGTAGCAGGCAAGGAAAAGAAAAGGAGCAAAGACAGGGTGCTAGATGCAAACATTACAGCTCAAACAAGAGCCCCAAACACAACAAGGTTTAACTGAGCACAGCTCCGAGCTCACGTTGCTAGCACGCTACTCCAGATTTGCAAACAGGAGCTCACTGAGCACGCCAAGTCCTCTGTCACAAACACACAGTTAAAAGCACAAACAGGCAAACATGTGATCTGCATTCCTTGTCAGTAACAGTGATGAGACATACCCAAAACGGGGTCATTTGGGCCCAGCCTATTACAGCTGCTCTGCAGAGTCCTGGTCTGACTGACCACAGCACTTTACGTGAAGTGTGAATGGGAGCAGAACCCAAATCACACAGAGGTCAGCTAGGCTGACATGCCCATGTGAGATGATTGGAGAAACTGTTCTTGCTCAGCTCAGGGAGAGGGAAAAGAAGTCTTCAAATGCTTCTAACTGAGCTGCAGACACATAGGAAGCGGAGTGATGTGGGGAGTAGGGTGCTCTCCATGAGCTCTGGACATCAGAAAAATAACAGGTTTAAAGTGCAAGACAAAGATTTAGATTAAACACCCTGAAAAATCTCTCTAATGATGAGGAGGCCTAAGTGTTGGCACACATCACCTGCAGAGGACATAGAATTGTTAGCATGAAGAGCTTAACAGAAGAACAATTACTCAGGAAAGGTTTAGAAATCTACCTGACCTTAGCCAGGGTTGGGAAACAACCAGGACATATCCGGAGGTACCTGATGTCTGAGACTATGAAACAAAGTTTCAGACATTCCTTTAAATTACACACAGGGCAGGGACACAACTCCCACAGCATTCCCGTCTAGACTGAAGCACAGCTACTTGAAGAATAAGATCATCATTTAATACCTTAACGGAATCTTTTACTTATAGACATCCATACTGTCCTGCAAAATTCATCAGGTTTCCACAGAAGTGCCCCAAGAAAAGCAGATTATCAAGATGCAGAATTGTAACTTGCTAAGATGTAAATACCAAATCAGGAGGAGCAAGACTCAGCATACCTCTCACAAACAGAACACACAAACTTTTAATTAGATAAATACTTTAAATAGCACAGAAATACCTGCATTTCCCTCGTGCCCATTGCAAGGGACTCCCTGATTTCCATCTGCATTTTCATACCATCTACTGGGCAGATCCTGAACTACCCACCAGCACATGCAGGGCTGCATACCACGGCAGCTCGTCCCAAGCTGAGACCCCCACCAGCCGAGTTTTGTTCCCCGTATTAACACCAAGCCACACACCAGTGCCTGAGATGAAGCACAAGGAATGACACCACCATCCCCTGCTCCAAATATTCCTAGCAAACACATATGGACAGCACAGTCTGGCCAGCAGAAGCTGAGAGTAAGAGAGGAAGGCGACAGGAGGAGGCCCAGCCCGCAGCCGGGCTCAGGCGTTGGGCCGAGGTGGGAGAACATTTTCCCCCAATATTACTGGCTGCGAACGGCAGCGACCACATGGCTGTTCCCAGCCACTCAGTGCACGCTGTTTACTATAAACAACAACAGTAAACAGAAACTCAGCCAAAAAATCAAAGCCGGCGACCCCGGAGCTGGGTCTCCACATCCCGACGTTCCCCATGGAAATAGTTTCATGTTCAGCCGCTGAACCTAAACCATCCGAGGCCCAAGGGAGCCAAGCTGCTCAGTGCATCCCAAAAACTCCTGCTCGGATTTGCCAGCTCTACCTTCAGTCATCCAGACTCCAAAGTGCTGCCACAGTTTTACACGGGAGCTTCAAAGAGCTCGCGGATTAAACCCGCGCGGCAGGAGCCAGCCGTCCCCGGGGTTATTTTTAAACATCTCACTGTGCACGAAACGCTCAAATCTTGTCTGGCTCCCAGCTCCATCCCAGCACTCGGCTCGGGGCGGCTGCGAAGGAGGCGCAGCTTTTCCCCAGGCATGGTGGTGATGGGATTTCTCCGGCTGCTCCCCGGGGTCACCCCTGCCGCCTCCAGCAGCAGGACCCGGCGGGACCCGCTCGGAGCACCGGGCACCAGCTCCACACACACACCGGGGTGACAGCAGGGTGGCACCGAGCCCCGAAGGGCTCGTGGGGGAGGAAGGGCACAAACCCCCCGGGCACAGCCCGCAGCCGGGAGCACCTCCTGCAGCTCGGTCCCGCTTCCCCTTTCCTGCCGGGAGCGCCCGGCTGGTACCGAAACGCGCCGGGGAGGTGGGCAGCTCCGGCCGGCCCCAGAACCGCTCCGAGGCCTCGGGGCGAGGCGGTACCGCGGCTGCCCGAGGCCCTGCCCGGGGACACCCGGCAGAACAACAAAGCCCTGGAAGAGGCTTTCCCGGGAGGCACAGCCCGGCCGGGCAGCCGCGGGGCCGGGGAGCCCCGGGGCGCTGCCCGGCCGCCGGGAGGGCCGGTCCCGGACGGCCCCAGCAGGTGCGGGCGGTGACAGCCCAGGGATACGGCCGCCCGCTCACCTGCGCGGCCGCCGAGCGCTGGCGCTGCTCAGTCCCTCGCCGCCGCCGCCGCCGCCATGTTCGCGCTGCGCAGGGAGGCGGGGAGGGAACGGGAGGGAACGGGAAGGAGCGGAGGGGGAGCGGCGGGGGATCGGGGAGGAGGGACCGGCAGCCCGGCCCGGCCCGGCCCGGCCCCGCGCCGCCCCCGCCGCCGGGACGGCTCCGGCCAGCGCCGGGGCTTCGGCAGCTGGTCGGCCGAGGCTCGGCTCGGTTGGGTTCGGCTGCGTTCGGCTCGGCTCGGCACGGCTCCTCTCTGGTTCGGCACGGCTCGGCCCGGCCCGGCTCGGCTCGGCCCTCACAAACCCCGCACCGTCGCTGCGCCCCGCGGCCGCCCCGGCCATGCCCCCTCGGGCCCGTCCTCACGCAGGGACAGACCCCCGTCCCCACCCGCGCTCTGGGCACGGGGCAGAGCCGCGGTGTCCTCACCGTGCTTGGGGCGAACCCCTGTGCCCTCAAGGGACCCCCAGGCACGGGACAGACCCCCACCCATGATCTTCAGCCTGGGGACAGACGCCCTGTGCCATCCAGGGACCTTTTGGGCATGGGGGCAGACCCCCACTGTGAGCCCCAGCCTGGGGACAGACCCCCTGTGCCATCCCAGGACCCTTGGGACAGGACAGACCCCCACTGTGAGCCCCAGCATGGGGACAAATTCCCTGTGCCATCCAGGACCCTTTGAGCACGGGGACAGACCCCTACTGTGAGCCCCAGCCTGGGGACAGACCCCCTGTGCCATCCCAGGACCTTTGGTACAGGACAGACTTGCTCCTCCCGTGAGCCCCAGCATTGGGGTAGAGATCCCATGCCCACCCAGGACACATGGGCACAGGGCAGACCCCTGCCATGATCTCCACACCTGGGAGTGCGTGCCCCAGTGCCCAGCCAGGACCCTCTGTGAGGAGAACCCCACTGTGACCTGCTGGAGCCCTGTTCCCACCAGAGGCCCCCCGGGTACTGCAGAGTGATGTCCATCCTTGTCTGACCCCACTGGGGACAGCCAGCCCTGGGGTGACAGCCAAATGCTGGGGACAGGCAATCCCCAGATATTCTCTTTCCTCCCAGCCTGGGCAGGACCTCTCCCTGCAGACAGAGACACCACAGATGTACAGATGTGTTTGGGGACTCAGTATCCCCAAATTCCCCCCAGACTAAGACCCCTGTGACTCCCTAAAGCAGCCCTAAAGCTGAAAGGATCCCTTGTGCCACTGTTGTAGCTCACTACCTCCACGTACCATCCCCAGGTTTTATCTGGAGAGAACCCTGTGTGAGCTGACCCTATGAGCATCCTTGGTGCTGTCTCCTGACCAGACATGGACCTCACTGGGGACCTTCTCTCTCCTGCAGAGCAACCAGAGCCTACACATGGTACCCCAAAACCATGCTGTGCCACCCCTTATCTTGGGAATTGCCAGGTAACAAGTGACAGTACAAGAGGAAACAGCCTCAAGTTGTGCCAGGGAAGGTTTAAATTGGATATTGAGAAAAATTTCTCCATGGAAATGGTTGTCCAGGCCAGCACAGGCTGCCCAGGACAGTGATGGAGTTGCTGGAGGGATTTAAGACACGTAGATGTGACACTTGGGGACATGGGTTAGTGGTGGCCTTGGCAGTGCCAGGGTAACTGTTGGATTTATCTTAGAGGGCTTTTCCAACCCAAGCAATCGGTGATTCTTGTGGTCTGGAGATTCAGTTCACATATTTTAAGATACTCGAGTGAGTGGTCAGTGAGTCTCTGGGGGTAGACCTGGGTCTCATGACCCAGGTATTTCAGTGGGGCAGTGGATACCCCATAAAATCTCGGAATGGTTTGGGTTGGAAGAGGAAAAGATGTCCCAATGCCACCTCTCTGCCATGGCAGGGACACCTTCCACTGCTCTTAGCATGTCCCAGGCTGCTCCAAACCCTGTCCAGCCTGGCCTTGGACAGTTCCAGGGATGTGCCTCTCTGGGCAACCTGTGTCAGGGCCTCACCATGCTCACAGGGAAGATTTTTTCCTAATACATTTTCCTATATGTTTTCCTACATACTTTTGGAGTGACACAGACATGTGTGACAAGACTTCCCACGGAGAAAGCACCTGAACAATTTCCAAAGTACTTGTAGTCACACAGCTAATGTAGGAGTCTCCCCTGAATGATTTCTTGTTCTGGGAGATTCCATGGAGGCTTGAGTGGTTTAGGTCAAAAGAAGATCAGAAGGAAACACCCCTAGTGTGAACAGGGCTTGGTGGAGCCTGGGAGGGTTGTTTCTGGAAAGCTCTGTGACATGTGTGGCTTCCTGCAGCGAGTGGCTTTGTTATCTGTGACAGAGAGAAGGCCAAGCCGTGATTCATCTGCTCTCTGCCCGCTGCCAAGCCTGGTGCCAGCCAGGGGGCACAGGGTGGGCAAGGGCTCCGGGGTGGGACCTTCCCACCAGTACCCAGCCGTTCAGGAAGGGCTGGAACCGCCTCAGCCCATTCCTGTGTTCCTCCCTTTTCCTCTGGGGAAGTGAATGGCACCGCTCTGGCTCTGGTGGATTAAAGGCTGCAGTGCCCCCAGGGAGCAGAGCTGCCCTGAAGGCCAGGGACGCCCTGTAGGTGCTCACGCTGTCCCAGTTCAGATGCTGGGCTTGGTTTAGTATGTGTAAGGCTGAAAGTCCTACCCAGGCCAAAGGAGCTTCTGCCTGATCAGCAGCTATCTTTTCCTCTGGGGAAGTGAATGGCACTGCTCTGGTGGATTAAAGGCTGCAGTGCCCCCAGGGGACACCCTGGAGGTGCTCACGCTGTCCTGGTTCAAATGCTGGGCTTGGTTTAGTATGTGCAAGGCTGAAAGTCCTACCCAGGCCAAAGGAGCTTCTGCCTGATCAGCAGCTAACTTCTGGTGTCCAGAAATTTGTCCACAGCTCTTTGATCTCCTTCTCAAGGAGAGAAAAGAGGGATCAGTACTCTCAGAGCAAAATAAATCTGTATTTGCCTCTCTCCACAAAAAAATTGTAAATAAAGACATATACTCCATCAGTTAGGGGGGGATTTCTAATAGTGGGGGAGAAAACTTTGAAACTGTTCCAGAGCTGCTGTTTGAGAGTTTCTCATGTCTTTTTCTGAGGGCCAGAACTGGCCTGGAAAACCTCTTGTTCTGAAACACTCACATTGAGGGATGGACAGTTTGAAATGCTCATGAGGGATTCTATTTTAAGATGTGGAGTACTTGATTGAGGCAGGACATGGTGTGTTTGCTTCAGCCTTGCACCTGAGCACCTCCTCTATAAATTCACAAGTATTATCATTTTTTTCTGATGGGTGTCATCAGCTCTGGTATTCCCTCATGTCCACAGTAATCATGATTTCATGAATGGAATAAATACACAAGGGTTCAGAGCTGCAGAATGGAGACAGGAGTGAAATTTCTCCATTGGCTTTAATTTGGAATGAGCAGTGGGATTTACATATGACATCCATATGAGCACCACAGGAATTCAGTTTGATTAATACTACAATGGAAACGAGCTGCAGAAATGGTTTGCCATTTATTCTGAAGCGTTGCCAGAAAAGCTCAGCACATTTGCAGCCTGGTTTGGGCCAGCTCCTGGGGATGAACGGCTGGGAGGGAACCCCTCAGAGGGGCACTGATGCACGGGGTGTTGGGGCACTGGAGCAGGACTGCAGGAGGAGAGGGTGCAGTGGGATGTAAGGCAATGTGACTGGGAAGAAAACCTCCTGCTGTCTTCCCTTCTCCCCTCCCTCTTCCTCCCTCATTAGTGCTTTGCAGTGATCTGGCATCGAATGTCCTCCTAGGCTGGTTCCCACTATTTGCAGTGTTCCCATTAATGAACTTTGGTTTCTGCCACAAATTGATCCTCAGTCTGGCATGGATGGAAATATAGAGCATGTTCTGCTTGAAAGGAAAAGCCTAATGTCCCCTGGTCCATGACCTTTTTATCCTGAATCTGATACTTCATAAAAAGGTGAATAAGAGGGCACAGGGATGGATGTAGAGGAGGAAGATCTAAAGGAACATGTGCACCCAGTATTCCTGCTTCTCTCATAGATATGTTCTTTGACCTGACATCTTTATTGGAGAGGGGAGATGGGAATCTTCTCCCCCTGCCTCAAAAAGGCAGAGGAAAAGGTTATTTACAGAGATTAAAGCCCCAACAATCAGCAGATCACTTTGCAGGGCCTGCCATAAGTTTCCTTTCCCAAAGCAATCTCATATTGAGACCAGCTGTTGAATTTGCCCAAAAGAGTCCATTTTTATTCTGAAGACTTCATGGCCTGGAAAATCACCTTTGTGAATACCAGAATGCTCTCTTGGCAGTGGGAAATCTCCTGGCCTCATGCCCCAGACATTTGCAGGCAGCTCTACCTTTCCCTGTCCAATTGCACAGAGACCCTCTGACAAAGGCTGCCTGCTGCAAATCCTTCTGAGCCCTCAATATCCTCCTGAGGCAAAAGAACACATTTTCTCATCATAACACTATTTATTGCTCCTGTTTCTCATGGCTCTTTGCAACTATTTCTATCTTTTCCACATGCCAGGTGGATGCCAAGCCTGGATCCAAAATGCCAGGGTATCACTGTGCCATGTCCAGGGCTTGCACCCCCTGTCCTGGTTAAATGTACCCAGTCATCTCAGTACACACACCCAAATTTAAACTAAAACCCCTCTGTTACAGAGGCACTCCTTGCAGTTCAGGTCTGCTTTGCTCACCCTGAATTTCTTCCCAGAGTTGCTGCTTTCTTGATCCTACCCCACCTTTGCTGCTTAACACCTCACCAAGCTTGGGTATTTATTTATAATCCTTCTGTTATTCTAATATGAAATTATTATCTAATTATTACTTCATATCAATATACAACCCATAATTATCTTATTTCAGGCTGTCACAATAGCTCAGTCCTAACTCAGCAGTTGTCTGGTATTTCCAAAGCCTGCTATACACCTCTGTCAACACTTCAAGGATGATAGTGTTTGGGTTATCTGGGTGTAGGTGTAAAATATCCGTTTATTTTTAGGTATGCTGTTTAAATTTCTTGGCTAATAGCAGTCTTGCAAGTCCTTCATCAGCTTTATAAAAAGAGATCTGGTTTCTCTGCAAAAGCAGAATTTAGGAAGTTA